GGAACATTAGACTGGAAGAGTTTGCAAACATCATCACCATTTTCAAGAAGGGAGACAGGGCCAACTGTGGCAGCTATCGAGGCATTGTTCTCCTCTCCAACTTTGGGAAGATTCTTGCTAGAATCTCACTGAATCGCCTGCTCCCTCTTGCAGAGGAAGTACTTCCACAGTCCCAGTGTGGTTTCACATCATGAGGCACAACCAACATGATTTTTGCAGCCAGGCAGATCCAGGACAAATGTCAAGAACAACACCAGGAGCTGTATATGGCTTTTATCGATCTGACCAAAGCCTTTGACTTTGTCAGTTCTGTCAGGCTCTGTGGAAAATCATGTCAAAGTTTGGCTGCCCAAACAAATTTATCACCATTGTAAGACTCCTCCATGACCAGTGACTACCTCCATCCTGTGCAGTGGCTCTTCCTCTGAGGAGCAGCAAGTGAAGCTTGTTAGTCAGAGCCAGGGCTGGGAACAGAGCCCAGGACACCTGATTGTCAGTGCTGTGTCCTATCCACTAGCGCACACGGCCTACCCTTTCCCTCAGGGGTCGCTGCGAGGAGCTGCTGTGCAGAGCTGGGCCAGGCAGTTTGCTCTGACAGTGGTGAGGTTTAAGCACATGCTCCAAGGCCGTTGTGTGGGGTGGGGGAAGAAGGGGATTCCAGAGGTGGGCATCTGTCATTGAGCAGGCCTTGTCCCCAATTCAGTGGTCCCAGCTGCTGCAGTAGGTCAGGTGCATGGGGAGAGAAGGGGGTTCTGAGAATTGGGGCCCAGTTCGTTTGTGGATCCGGCCCCTGCAGTGAGGCTCAGTGGGAGTCAGGCAGGGTGTGGGAATGGCAGGGTAATGGGGTCACTCCCCACTGTTGGGTAGAAGATGGGCTGCCACATGCTGCATCATCTGAAGTTTTCTCATTGTATTTACTGGGTAGAGCCACCAGAATTGGGGCATCTTTCCCATCTCTGATCTGCATTCCCTGCATGCCGTGGGCATCTGCTGAAGTCCGCTTCATTAGGGCAAAATGCAGCACCCTGCTTCGGTATGGATGGGGGGTTCCTGCCTGCTGGTCCCAATACAGGGATAGGAAGTAAAAGTTCTTTTCCAACTATTAGACAACCCAAAGCAAAGAGGTGACTCCTCTGAGCATTTCAGGTCAGTTGGAGGTATTTACATTGTAGGCTATGAATCAGAAAGCTGCAGATCTCTTCAGATACCTGCTTAAAGGATCCTGACTGTAACCAACAAGCCATTGTCGATGTCTGACTCACAGCCCAGAGATCCGGTCTGAGTGGTTTGCAAAGAATTATAAAAAGGTGAGGAGAAGTTCATACAAATAAATATTTCCCCTAAGACTCCAGAGCTCCAAAATGCTTCACTCATAAGTATTTAGTATTATTACCATACCTGAAGCAGTCAATAAATTAACAACACAGAAATTTTGTTTCTATAAACTTTTTCTATCTATGGACTCACCCCCCACAGCATGCATAGACTCCAGGTGCACACAGAGCAAACAGAACCAAATACAAACAGAGAAAATTACACACAGATGTGTCGTCTTTCAGACACACAGGGAAGCCATTCCAAAGGTCACGCCCCACCTGCTGGATCTGTGTCTGAGCCTCGGTCACCACAATTCTTTGGTAACCCATTAAATAGTTTCACATTCCAAACTCGCAGTGACATTCTGCAGAAAGGCAGCAAGGCCAGGACCTGATGAATCCCAAGATTTCACAGCCAGAAAATTCACCCCGGCTGTGCCCTCGGCATCCAGAATCTGAGCTCTTGGCCCATCCCACTGTGGCACTGTACAGGGGCCGTTAAAATCTGTATCTTGCTGGGGAAGAATTTCCACCATACAAGCTCTGCGCAACACAGTGGTAGGCTCTGTGTCAAATGGCCCTTTGGAAGCCCCACCTAGGTGTCCCGATTTTATAGGGACAGTCCTGATTTGGGGGTCTTTTTCTTATACAGGCTCCTATTACCCCCCACCCCCGTCCCGATTTTTCACATTTGCTGTCTGGTCACCCTAGCCCAGCCATAAGGGATGTGCCGGGAGTGCAGCTGGGGGCTAGTGGGGCTGGGAGGGAATGTGCTGCAGGTAGAGGGAGTAGGTCCATACTGTTAGCACTATGGACATTTTTCACAGTGTGGTCTCCCATAGACGGCCCACACTGGGCTCCTGTGACTTAGGGTAGCTCCCCTGGCTACCTTACACTGCAGGACGCTCTGCTCCCCTCCTGCCCCCAGAGCAGCCTGGAATCCCAAGGATGCAAAAGTGGTGTCAAGTGACCTTTGCTGTCCTCTCCCAGAGCTGTGAGTTCTGTGCTGCACATCCCAGAGGCCCAGCACAGTTTTGCACCCTGTTTCTAGCCCTTGTGGTTGCAGAGATAACCTTCCGGGAACCATCGGCCTGCCACCATGGTGGGCGGTTATGAGCGAGGAGGCTCTCAGCTTTTATCACAGCTGTTAGTGCTGCGGTTCCCAGCCAATGGAAGCTGCAGGGGCGGCACTTGGGGTAGGGGCAGCATGTGGATCTCCTGGCTGCCCCTACGCGTAGGAGCCAGAGTGGGGACATGCTGCTGCTTCCGGGATCCCCGCGGAGCCACGGCATGGAGCGGGGCAAGTCCCAGACCCTGCTCCCTGGCAGGACCTTGAGGGCTGGATTAAAACATCTGAAGAGCTGTATGTGGACCCTAGGCCGTAGTTTGCCCACCCCTGGTCTGGGAGGTCCTGTGCCGAGGTCGTGGATTTTCTTGCCCTCTGTGGAGAGGCACATGTCCTGTCCCATCAGGAGTCACTGGAATGCCAAGATCTACAAGCAGATATTAGACTGTACGAAGGAGACGGGGCACTCACAGGACTTGGTCCAGTGCCCCCAAAAAGGAAAGGAGCTTCGCCAGTTATAAAAACAAGACTTCCAGTCATTGTTGCAGTACCTGTTACAATTATGCAGACCTGGACTGGGTTTATGCAGAAGAGGACACCACCAAACCCTGACACGTTCTGGACTGCACCAAAGGCACCCAAGTGACCGATGACCCCAGGCAGGAGGAGACTGTCACAGCCAGCCAGGATTTCTTTGGTACTCAAAACTCCAAGGCAGAGACAGACACCCAGGCTGACAACGCTGGGGAAGGAAACTCTTCTAGTCAGTGTTATGTGCTACATTGCAATACAACTGTATGGGTGATTTAAACAACTTGGTTCTGGGAACCATCGGCCTGCCACCATGTTGGGCGGTTATGAGCGAGGAGGCTCTCAGCTTTTATCACAGCTGTTAGTGCTGCGTGGTGGCACATGCCTGTAACCTCAGCTGTTTGGGAGGCTGTAGCTGGCGGATTGCTTGAGCTCAGGGGTTCTGGGCTGCGGTGTGCTATGCTGATCAGGTGTCCGGTGCCACTGACAGCCTGGCCAGCGGGTGGTTGAAGGACTGGCATGAACGACGTGTTGTGATCGGTGCCGTCTTTGTGAGGGCTGATGGACGGATTGATCAAGGTGAGTGCTGCAGAGAGTTGTTACGGCTGCTAAGTCAGTATTGCCAACCCCAGATGTTCAAAAATCATGAGATTGGCTTTCAAATCATGAGATTATGTAAAATGCTAGATTTGGGAGTCTTTTTATTTGCCTTCTGCTTTTTGAGCCTTTAGGGTTCACTGGGGTCACATGTTGATGCTTTCTCCACAGGTATGAGGGCTAGAAACTTACTTTGTCTTTCAGAAGGAAGGCTGAAATCATCACCACTAGACTCCAGGAGCTGGGGCTTTAAGGAAAACAATAATTATCATGAGACTCATGACAAAATCACGAGAGTTGGCAACACTGCTACGTTCTTACGGCTGCTCAGTGCTGTTGTTCTTGGAGCTCAGACGTCAGCTGCACGAGCAGGGAAGGCCGTTTACTGATTCAGCATACCTTATGTTATTCATAAAGAAAGGCCACAGGCTCGGTTTGGTGGCGAAAGCGCTCGGCCAGGTTTATTGTCAACAAAGCACAGTACTAGCACCCTGTCCAATGGGTTACAGGAACACTAACACATGTATGACCATGGCTCAGTCAGGACACCAGGATCCTGTCCCCTCGACCGATAGAAAGTTACCCTTCCTATAACTTCTCCTTTTATACCTTGATACAAACAAGTATTACACTCCAGACATTGATAGTTACCACCCTTATAATTTGTACATAAGAAAGCCATACTGGGTCAGACCAATGGTCCATCTAGCGCAGTAACCTGTCTTCCAACAGTGGCCAATGGCAGGTGCTTCAGAGGGAATGAACAGAACAGGGCAATTATCAAGTGATCCATCCTGTCACCAGCCCCAGCTTCTGACAAACAGAGGCTAGGGACACTTCAGAGCATGGTTTTGCATCCCTGCCCATCCTAGCTAATAGCCATTGATGGATCTATCTATCCTCCATGAACTTATCTAGTTCTTTTTTGAACCCTGTTATAATCTTGGCCTTCACAACATCCTCTGGCAATGAGTTCCACAGGTTGACTGTGCGCTATGGGCTAGTTCGAACAAAACATCCTCATCCATTATCCTGTCATCCCATTCTTATCTTACAAGGGGTTGGGGTCTTCCTGTACAATCTCTTGGGAATTTGTTTATGTAGTTACTTGAGAACTCTGGGTGTTCTTGTACCACGCTCTCTGGTCTGGAATGTGCTTACTTGGTTAGCCACTATCTGGTGTGTTACTATTCTGCCAAGGCCAGGTCTAATCTGCTTCACAGCCTTTGGTTCACACTGCTAGTTATGCCTCGGGCTCCGGCAAGGCCTACGACACACAACTCAAAACTGCATCCTGATCAGAAAATTTAAGCTCCAAAGCATTTATTGCTCTGAAATATCAAATTCCACTATCATCAGTTAAATGTGCATCCGTCCACCCCTCTTCCCAGGCTGCTTAATGTTCCTTCGCCCTCTTGGAGCCCGCCCTGTACTCAAGATGTTTTAACCTTTTGTGGTTAAAAACAAAACAAAACAAAACACAAACCTCATTGCATGGCAGACATGTTTATTGGAGTGGCAGACACAGAACGAGAAAAGGCAACAGAAAAAAGTACTTTAGCTCCCAGTTGGACCAATGCCTTGAGCTTCTCGCTACCGTTACATATTAGGTAAATTGCCCAACTTAGGCTACAGAGTCATTTAAAAATGCATAGAGATTATAAGGCATTTGTGGCTATTTCGACTCACACCCTCAGCATGGTTAACCCCTTGGGGTACAGAGCAATTACTGCAAAAAGTGTATTTTGCAGCACACTTTGTGCTGATCTGCAATTGCTATACAAGAGAGTTTAAGGCAAAGAGAGGGCTCTATTTTTGCAAGCACATTGCGAGGCAATGCAGCTTTCTCAGGGCTACCCATATAAGTGGTGTTTCCTTTCCACTCCTGCTCCAGGTGTGGGGGCACCATCCTGGCAAACTGCAGGGCAACAGAACTTCCCAGTTTATCCATTGCCTTTTTGAATAACAACCTCCTCTGCCTCTAAGGGGACACACCTTAGGGGATCGTCCTCCAACGTAAGGACCTCCTGCAGAGTCGCACATGCAATTACGAAGCCCCCCTCTGCCACCACCCCCCCCAAACACCCAGCCAGCCAGATCCCCTCCCCAGCTCACAACCAGGATTGATATGGGGTCCTATAGAAGAGCAGTTCTCAACCAGGGGTCCGAGACCCCCTGGGAGGGCCGCAAGCAGGTTTCAGAGGGTCCACCAAGCAGGACCAGTGTTAGACTCGCTGGGGTCCAGGGCAGAAAGCTGGAGCCCTGCCGCCGCAAGCCCCGTCACCCGGGGCTGAAGGTGAAGCCTAAGCAGCTTAGGTTTGCAGGGCTCCCTGTAACATGGGGCCACGCGGAACTGCCCTGCTCGCTACCCCCTAACGCTGGCTCCTGGCTTTTATATGCAGAAACACAGTGCTGTAGCACAAGGGGACCATGCAGTTTTTCTAGCATGTTCGGGGGGCCTCAGAAAGTAAAAGGTTGAGAACCCCTGCTCTAGAAGGTGGAAAACGTCTCACCGTCCCTATGGTCACCCCTGACTGTGAGGAGCCCACAGAAATGGTATTCAGAAATGGAGTAAAAAGCAACATTTGATCTTTGTTGCCATGGAGACTATAACTGGGACAATACTTGTGGGGTTGATCAGCACACACACACCCCACCTTACACCTTGACCACGGACAAGAGTGTGGTCAGTTGCTGAACTTCTGGGAAATCTGAGCAGAGACAGAGGAAATGCTCAGTGACTTCGTGGCTGCATCCCAGCACAGGCAGAAGACTGAGAAGTAGAGGGATAGTTGCCTTCACCATGGTATCGAGGACTGGAAGAGGTAAAGGGACCTGCTGAAAGAACACATTGACAAAGACAACCCGCCCACTCAGGCACAGATGCTGGAGATGATGCAGCGGCAGACAGCTCTGCTGGAGAACAGTGGGGCTAAAGTTCACAGCCACCACCCCAACCTAGCCATGTGCTGTGGCCCCTTGAGAACTCAGCAGTGGGAACACTCCTTTGCTTCCCCAATTACACAGGACAGGACTTTCCTTTGCCATCTCACACCACGAGACATGTAGAATGGTTCTGCCCTCTCCAAACATATTTATGACCCCGTCGGCACAAAGTTGTGCACTCAGCACTTTCGGCATGTCTGCCACAGTTTTATGGTTTCAAAGTTTGTGTCGGGCTGTTTTCAACAAAGGTTTTTATTTACGGCTATTTGTTATTTATTTACAACTGAAAAGTTTCATAAAATCCCACACAAAGCACAATAAAATCCTACATAAAGCAAAATTAAAATCCTACCACAAAGTTACATACATTTTTCCCCACTACCCCTTCGCCCCAAAGGAAGAGAACAACTCATCCCTGACCATGTGTCCCTGACCAATTGTGGCATTTAGCAGAGGCAGCCTCTCTGGCTGTTCATAACATTCACAGAGTTTCTTTACTTCCACCTCTCGCCAACATCAGATGTTGTGGGAAATGCAGCAAGCACCTGTCACAAGAGGCAGATATTGCTAAGCAGCCTCCAGCCTTGTCACAAGGCACCTCCACCTTCCCTTCAGTCTTCCAGATGCCCACTCCCCTGTCATTCTACAGCTACTACGGGGGTAAGTTAAAGAGCTCCTTTCTCCTCTCCAAGTGTTCAGGAAAAGGATTCATCAGCCAGGGAAGCAGAGGGAGAGCTGGGTCTCCCAGAGTGACAGGAGGAATCACATGATGAATATCCATAGCAGCACATGGCACCAGTTCCGGCCTCGTTGCCAAAAAGAAGGCCTGAGTGTCGAACAACACTGGCATCGTGGAACTTTCCAGACCATCCCACATTAATACTGGTCAAACTTTTCCACAGTGATCAACCAGACCTTGCAGCATCGTACCCAAATATCCTTTTCTGTTGACAAACTCTGAGATCTGGTACAGGGAGGCAAACAATAAGCATATGGGTACCATTAGTGGCCCCAAAACAATTCAGGAGCCCCAGCCTTTCAAATTATTCAATAACTTCCTGTGTACTGCCATGCTTTAGGACCTGGCCTAGCAGCACCCTCTGAATAGTAGCACATGGAAACGCCGTCATGGGAGGTTTTTAAGAGCAGGTTAGACAAACAAGTGTCAGGGACAGGCTAGATAATACTTAGTCCTGCTGTGAGTGCAGCAGACTGGGCTAGATGACCTCTTGAGGTCCCTTCCAGTCCTACAATTCTATGATTCTATGGCAGCCCCAATAGCTGATTTACCAACACTGAACTGGTTAGCTGTTGCCCAGAAGCCATTGGGAGATTAGCAAGCTTCCAGATACTGAAGACCACAACACTTCATGCCAAAGGGAACTCTCCAGTCAGTGCCCTGCCCACTTCTGCTCATGGGCCAGCTCTGCACAGTTTTCAAGGTACATGGCCTTTGTCATTCTGAAGTTCTGCCACCATTGCTGGTCATCCTCGGTCTGCACGACTACCCTCTCCCACAAGTTACTGCTTGCTGGGCAAGCCCGGAGGAAAGCGTCTACTGAGGAAATGTTCCAGAAAATGGTCTCGCAGAAGTAACTGCTCGCTTTCGTCCTCCTCATCTTCTATTTGCGTCACCCATATTGGTGCAGCACGACCATGGCCGTCTCTCAAGGCATCCGCAGCCACCCATCCAGCTGCCTGACTGCTAACACCTGTGCATCGACCTGTTCATGTTAATGGCCGTCAGGGTCACATGTTCTCGTCATGCTGCCTGCCAGAGGCTTGAAAATGGTGCTGGCTCACAAAAGCCAGATGAATGATGGGATGACACGAGAATAATCCTGGAATGTGTTAGTTTGACCCCAAATCCCAGAATTCCAGTGGCTTTGGGTAGCTATTCCACAATGCACCAGGAGAAAATCCCAGAATACCCAGAGTCAAGTGGCAGAACATAGTAGCATGGTACATCTGCCCAGAAATCAGCACTGTGTAGATTCAATTATTCAAAAGGGGAGGAGCTTAAATTGGCATAACAAAGCAGTGTTATAGTACTGCTTTCAGAATAGTTATTCTGGATTGAAGTGGACAAACATAATCCAAAATATATTTCAGGCATAGTCAAGTTCTTAGCTAGACTTAGTCAGGGCAATTATTCAGTTCTCCTCCTAATGCATAATAAGGGGTGAACTTTCTGTGCAGCTTTTCCCACACCCAGGGTTTTTACAAGGCATTTCTCTCTTGTGGATTCTCTGATGAGAATTAAGATGTGAACGGCTGCTGAAGGTTTTCCCACAGTCAGGGCACTTATAGGGTCTCTCTCCTGTGTGGATTCTCTGGTGTATAATAAGGGCTGATTTTACACGACACCTTTGCCTACAGTAAGGACATTTATATGGTTTTTCTCCCGTGTGGGTTCTCTGATGTGTTATCAGGTGTGAAGAGCAAGTGAAGCCTTTTCCACAGACAGGGCATCGATAGGGTCTCTCTCCCGTGTGGATTCTCTGATGTACAATAAGGGCTGAGCTGTCACTGGATCTTTTCCCACAGTCGGGGCAGCTAAAGGGCTTCTCTCCTGTATGGAGTCTCTGATGTCTAATAAGGTCTGAGCTCTGATTGAAGCTTCTCCCGCAGTCGGGGCATTTATAGGGTTTTTCTCCTGTGTGGATTCTCTGGTGTTTAATAAAGGTGGAGTTTGCAGTGAAGCTTTTACCACATTCCTGGCATTTATAGGGCCGCTCTCCAGTGTGGATTCTTAGATGTGTAACAAGGTTTGGGCTCTGGTTGAAGCTCTTCCCACACTGGGGGCATTTATAGGGCTTTTCTCCTGTATGGATTCTTTGATGTATAAGAAGGTGTGAATGACTACTGAAGCTTTTCCCACATTCACTGCATGTGCTTGGTCTCTCTCCCATGTGGATCCTCTGGACTCTGGTTTTCTTGAGGTGCTTCAGACCTCTCCCACAATTCGTGGATTTATCCACTTTCTTCACCGGCTGGTTTCCCAGCGGCCTCTCTTTGCTACACTGACTCTCACAGGTTTTTCCTTGCCCAATACTCCAACAGATGTTTCCTTTGGATCTTCCTAATAGTGTCCCATGATGTTCCACTTGCTCAGGACCTCCCAGCTGAGGATTCAACTCTTCATGCTCATTCTTGATCCCATCAGCTGTTGGGATAAAGAGAAAATCCAGAGATGAATCATTCTCTGTGTCGAGAAGTAAGGAAAACTCAGAATGGAGCAATGGAAAGCTTGGGGTGTGGGAGGGAATAAACCAAATTAATTGTTGGGCAAATGGAAAAATTCCGGAGTTGAATTCCCGCAAATCCTTTCCCAGAGTTGAGAGAGAGGTGGCTGAACCAATTCAGCCACCACATTCCACCTGAACATGCAGAGGAAAGGGTGGTCAGCAGGGAGGAAGTTAATGTCAGGTGTGAGTCAGGGTGCGTGGGAAGCCATGAAAGACATATCTTGTGGATCTGACACCTACTGGAGACAATCCAGAATTAGGAGCGTATATGAGGACTTTGTGAGAATCCTAGCTGTTCCTTCATTCAGCAATGTTTTCTGAGTTGGTTTTAACTAACACCTTTACCTGCATGGCTATATCTCAGGATTCCCCTTTCCTCTGAGCCCTGGAGATCTGTGAGCCATGGCTCTTCTCCCCGTTCCAGCTGGGAGATCACTTCAGGTTTGGGAATCGGAAATCCTGCTCAAGGGGAAAGTAAACAGGTGAGAAGTCCCATGGCTTGTGTTATACTGGAGATCAGACTATACAATTACAGTGTCCCTTCCAGTCTTATCATCTACGATTCTATGAGATCAAAGTGAATAATGTGTGTGGAGAACAGTTCCAAATAAAAAGTTTAGTAATTTTGACCCAGTCACTGTTTGTGCTGGTGGAACATGCATGGGAACATGGTCACAGAGATCCTTTGGGATTCACATGTATGTGTCACATTTCAGAGTGGTAGCCGTGTTAGTCTGTATCAGCAAAAACAACGAGGAGACCTTAAGGCACCTTAGAGACTAAAAAATTTATTTGAGCATAAGCTTTCATGGGCTAAAACCCACTTCATCAGATGCATGGAGTGGAACACACAGTAGGGAGGTATAAATACACAGCATAAGAAAAGATGGGAGTTGCCTTACATGTATGTGTTGGGGGGTGAGAGGGGTGTTGCACCTTTAGGACTTCCAGACACTGGGGAATTGGATCACTAAGACATAGTCTTGATGCTACGTCCTTTGCTTGCTTCTAAATCTCCAGAGACCTCTCTCTGGGTAGAGCCAGTGCCAAGAAGGGAGGAGAAACAGAGAGCCTGTATGCACATGGGGGTGTAAGTACGTGTAACTCACACACCTTCTAGGTGTGGTGGTGTGTCTCCTCTAGTGGCACTGAAACCACTTACAGAGATTAATGAGTCTGTTACAGCCTTAGCTAAGAGCAATGTGGCTTTTAGCTCATGCGGTGGAGGCTCATGCATTTAGCTCCAGAGGTCCCAGGTTCGATCTTGCCCACTGACGACCAGTATCTGTCAGTGTTACCTACAGACAGGCAAATTCCGCCTTTCCGCCCTTTGAAAGTTCTGGGGTCGGCAGAATTAGCATCTCCAATAAGTATCTGGCTCCCCTAACCCCGGGGGAGGAGGTAAGAAGGAAGCCAGTCTCTCTCACTCAATTCTGGGCACCCGAAGAGCGTGCCATCCCCTCAGTGCCAACAAAGGGAAAACAGACCCATGCCAGCTGCATGAGAGAGATTCAGCCAGCAGCGGAGAGTTGGAAAGCATGCTGGGGGAAAAATAAAAGTTCCTCACATGAGGGTGTAACCCTGCAGTGGGGCAAGTTAAGGAAGTAGACAGTCACCAAAGAAGTTGCCCTGGTAAGAGTTCCTCGGTGCTGTGCCTGGCACCGCTATCACAAAGGCAGGCTGGGTGGGGGTGTAGCCTGATCCCCTTTAAATCTAAGGGACCAGAAAAGAACCTTGACCAGAAGCCAACCGGGCACTTCAGAGACAGCCCCCCACCCCCAGCTTCTACTTCCCGAGGGGACAGGGATACTTACCCAGCGAGGTCACATTATCATAATTCTCCTGCATGACGTCCCTGTACAGAGCTCTCTGACTCGGGTCCAGGAGAGCCCATTCTTCCTCGGTGAAATACACAGCCACCTCTTCGAAGGTCACTGGCTCCTGAAAATGACAATTGTCCCCCATTTGGTAACTTCTGCCCCAGCCCCAATCCCACTATTGATGGGGGAGGAGGGCCAAAAAAAGTAAAAGCTCTGGGAGGAGCACAGTAAAACAATCCCATCCTGTGCAGAACAACCTGGAGGTTTCCGAGTGTGAGGAGAAAGAGAGTCCTTGTCACTCCTAGCAAAGGGAGAGAGGGTCATTTGCATTTATCACACACCTACTAGCCAGATACTGATACAGACAGAGACCCACAGCAGGGTTCAGGGACAGACCCTAGTAAGAACCCAAACACCTCCCCCATTCCCAGCAGCTGGATGTGAGGAGATGGGGCGGGGAGGATTAGGAACAAAGGATGCAGGCCATACTTACAGGATGGGGGACTCTGCCCCGGGAAACAGTGACTCTGAAAAAGATTTCGGGGTCATGCTGAACACAAGCTCCATATGCGATGCTGTAGCCAAAAGAGCTGATGTGATCCTTGGATGCATAAACAGGGGAATCTCGAGTAGGATCAGAGAAGTTATTTTACCTCTCTATTTGGCACTAGTGCAACCACTGCTAGAACCCTGTGTCCAGTTCTGATGCCCACAATTCAAGTAAGCTGCTAAAAAGGAGAGGGTTCAGACAAGAGCCATGAGAATGATTGAAGGATTAGAAAACCTGCCTTATAGTGAAAGACTAAAGGATCTCAATCTATTTAGCTTGACAAAGAGAAGGTTAAGAGGTGACTTGATTACGGTCTATTAATACCTACGTGGGGAACAGAAATGTGATAATCGGCTCTTCATTCTCGCAGACAAAGGTATAACATGATCCAATGGCTGGAAGTTGGAACTAAACAAATTTAGACTAGAAATAAGGCATACATTTTTAACAGTCAGAGTAAATAACCATTGGAATTATTTATGGAGGGTCATGGTGGATTCTCCATCACCAGCAATTTTAAAATCAAGATTGGATGTTTTTTCTAAAAGATCGGCTCTAGGAACTATTTTGGGGAAATTTTATGGCCTGTGTTATACAGAAGGTCAGAGTGGATGATTACAATAGTCTCTTCTGGCCCTGGAATCTATTAATTCTGACTGGCAGGGGGAAATTGGTTGTAAATCTGAAGTTTTGAAAGCAATTTGTGGGAAAGTAATCATGATATGGTAGATTTCATGATTCTAAGGACAATGGACTTCAAACTAACCAACTTAAACAATCTCAGAGATCAGGTAGGTAAGGTCCCCTGGGAAAAAATATAAAGGAAAAAGGAGTTCAGGAGAGCTGGCAGCCTCTCAAAGAGACAATATCTAAGGAACAACAGCAAACTATCCCTATCTGAAGGAAAGATAGGAAGAACAGTAAAAGGCCAATATAGTTCCACTAGGAGCTCTGTAATGACCTGAAAATCAAAAAGGAATCTGACAAAAAGTGGAACCATGGACAAATGGCTAAGGATGAGTACAAAAATATAGCACAACCATGAAGGGACAAAAATCAGAAAGACTAAGGCACAAAATGAATGACACTAAGCAAGGGACATGAAAAACAATAAGAAAAGGTTCTATAAATACATCAGGAGCAAGAGAAAAATAAAGGAAAGTGTAGGTCCTCTGCTTAGCTGGGAGGGAGAGCTAATAACAGATGACACCAAGAAGGCTGATACATTTAAGGCTTATTTTGTATCAGTCTTCACTAAAAAAGTTAAATGTGACCAGATACTAACACAATTAATATTAATAACAAGGGGGAAGGAATGTAACCCAAAATAGGGAAAGAACATGTTAAAAAATATTTAGATAAATTAGATGTGTTCAAGTTGCTAAGGCCTGCTAAAATTAATCATAGGATACTTAAGGAACTAGCTGAAGCAATTTCTGAACCATTAGTGATTATCTTCAAGCACTCATGGAGGACAGATGAGGACCCAGAGGATTGGAGAAAGGCAAACATTGTACCTATCTTTAAAAAGGGGGGAAAGCTGGGCCTGGAAAATTATTGACCAGTCATCTTAACTTCAATGCCTGGAAAGTTAATAATAACTGGAACAAATAATTAAACAATTATTTTGTAAGCACCAAGAAGATAATAGGGTTATAAGCCAACATGGATTCGTCAAGAACAAATCATTCCAAACCAACCTAAATTTCTTCTTTGACAGGGATATTGGCCTACTGGATATGGGGAAAGCTATAAACATGATATATCTAGATTTTAATAAGGCTTTTGACACAGTCCCACATGACATTGTCATAAGCAGATTAGGGAAATGTGGTCTAGTTGAAATTACTGTAAAGGGAGTGCAAAATTGGTTGAAAGACCATACTCAAAGAGTAGTTCTCAATGGTTCATTGTCAAACTGGGGGTGGGTGGGGGAGATGTATCTACTGGGGTCCCATAGAGGTCCATCCTTATTCATTGTTTTCATTAATGACTAGGATAATAGAGTAGATAGTATGCTTATAAAATTTGCAGATGACACCAAGATGGGAGGAGTTGTCAGCACTTTGGAGGACAGGATTAGAATTCAAAACAACCTTCACAAATTAGACTGAAATCAACAAGATAAAATTCAGTAAAGACAAGGGCAAAGTACTATATTCAGGATGGAAAAATCAAATGCACAGCTACAAAACGGGGAATAACTGGGCATGCATTGTACTGCTGAAAAGGATCTGGGGGTTACAGAGGATCATAAACTGAATACGAACCAGCAATGTGATGCAGTTGCAAAAATGGCTAATATCATTCTGGGGTATATTAGCAGGAGTGTTGTGTGTAAGACAGGCAAGGTAATTGTCCCGCTCTACTTGGTACTGATGAGCCCTCAAGTGGAGTCCTATGTCCAGTTTTGGGTGCCAAGCTTTCAGAAAATTGTGGACAAACTGGAGAGAGTCCAGAGGAAAGCAACAAAAATGATGAAAGCTTTAGAAAAAGCTTTAAATTTAGTTGGGGATTGGTCCTGCTTTGAGCACGGGGTTGGACTAGATGACCTCCTGAGGTCCCTTCCAACCCTGATATTCTAGGATTCTATGAAAACGGGATCTCTACGGAAAGGTTAATTAGACGGGGTATGTTTAGTCCTGAAAAAAGAAGACTAAAGGGGGACCTGATAGCAGTCTTCAGATATGTGAAGGGCTATTTATAAAGAGGATGGAGATCAATTGTTCTCCATGTCCTCTGAAGGTAGGACAAGAACTAATGGGCTAATCTGCAGCAAGGGCGATTTAGGTCAGATATTAGGAAAAACATTCTAATTATAAGGGCAGATAAACTCTGGAATAGGCTTCTGTCAAGGTTCCTTCCCCACTCTGAACTCAAGGGTACAGATGTGGGGACCTGCATGAAAACCTCCTAAGCTTACTTTTACTAGCTTAGGTTAAAACTTCCCCAAGGTAAAAACTATTTTACTTTTTGCCCTTGGACTTTATCGCTGCCACCACCAAATGTCTAACCGGTATATTACTGGGAAAGAGCCCATTTGGAAACATCTTTCCCCCCAGAATCCTCCCAAACTTTCCACCCCCTTTCCTGGGGAAGGTTTGATAAAAATCCTCACCAATTTGCATAGGTGAACACAGACTCAAACCCTTAGATCTTAAGAACAATGAAAAAGTATTCAGATTCTTAAAAGAAGAATTTTAATAGAAGAAAAAGTAAAAAGAATCACCTCTGTAAAATCAGGATGGTAAATACCTTACAGGATAATCAGATTCAAAACACAGATAATCCCTCTAGGCAAAACCTTAGGTTACAAAAAGACACAAAAACAGGAATCTACATTCCATTCAGCACAGCTTATTTTCTCAGCCATTTAAAGAAATCAGAATCTAACGCATCTCTAGCTAGATTACTTACTAAATTCTAAGACTCCATTCCTGTTCTGTCCCCAGCAAAAGCATCACACAGACAGAGAGAGAGGCTTTGTTTCTCCCTCCCCCCAGCTTTTGAAAGTATCTTGTCTCCTCATTGGTCATTTTGGTCAGGTGCCAGCGAAGTTATCCTAGCTTCTTAACCCTTTACAGGTGAAAGGGTTTTTCCTTTGGCCAGGAGGGATTTTAAAGGTGTTTATCTGTCCCTTTATATTTATGACAGCTTCCAAGGGAGGTTGTGGAATCCGCATCATTGGAGGTTTTTAAGAACAGGTTGGACAAACACCTATCAGCGATAGTCAAGGTTGACTTGGTCCTGCCTCAGTGCAGGAGGCTGGACTAAATGCACGGTCCCTTCCAGCCCGACATTTCTGTGATTCTATGAACTCTCCTGGGGCTGCAGGTGTGAGTGCCCCTTTCACATTCCTCACCCTTGTGTATTTACTGCCTTCACCTCCTTCCCAGCACATACCCCCTCCACTGTGCACTGAAAAACCCCTACCTGAGCCGCCGCTACTGCAGTCATTTCCCTTTCCCGTCCCCCAAGAGGATGGGATGATCCGGAGTGAAACACAGACATTATTCTGCAGCCTGTCAGGGCGAGAAGGGAGGTTTCAGAAGGGGCTCTAGTCCATTCATCTCCCCTAGTCTCCACAGGGTCTTTCCCTGCAGACAGACACTCTAGACTGCAATTCAGGAAAAACCCTGGGTCACTTTACTACTGCACACAGCTGGCCCGTCTCACCAGGACTAAACCCACCAAGACATTTTCAAACCAACCCCCTCCCTCCCCAGGAACAGTCTCTGAAGCAAATGCTAGAAAAGAGCAGAATCAGAGGCCGCTTAAGGGGATCCCCCCCGCCCTCCCCCCCCGACATTGTCCTTGAGGGGATTTTATATCAATATTCAATAATTTGAGAGAAAAGTGCAAAATCTGAGAGTTTATATAAATATTTGGTAAATAAACAGCAAGTGCTTATTCCCAATTGACATGGGCAGCAGGGAACCTTGGGCCCAACCACTTTACTGAAGGCTGAAGGGAGGAGGATGGAGACAGAAGGTTCTGTGATGGTTGGAAGGGGCAGCAGTGGGGCAGGAGCAGGTGACTGACTGGCAGTTCATGATTGGGGGGAGGTGTATTGGGCTGGCAGGAGCTGGGAGAGGAAAAACTGGGGCTGGACAATCTCAGTTTAGGGCACTTGCTCCACCCACTTGCCCTGCTTGGCCCTCCAATCTAGGTTACTGACTCAGGGCAAGTTTCCCTCAAAAACAAAGAAAAGGTGCTAAAGTTAAAAAAGCATGGGGAAAGTACCCAATCTGAGAAGATTTTTAAATCAGTGTTCCATAAATGGAGAAAAAGAACAGCAACATTTGAATGCATTTTATGTCAACATTCAATCATTAGAGAGAAAATGGCAAAATTTGACAAGATTTGATACTCAAGTTTAACAGTTAAAAAGCAATGAGAGCTGTTAGAATGATATTCAATAATTAGATTAGAGATTGGGAAAATTTGAGAGATTTTATATTAATGTTTGATAATAGGTGATGGGTCAAAATCGGAGTGCATTTTATATCAGTATTCGAAAATTGGAGAGAAAGGTGCAAAATCTGAAGAGATTTAATTCTAATATCAGGTAATTAGAGAGACAAGGCAAAATCATTAATAGCAAACTAGAAAATGGGGCATAATTTTAGAGGATAATATGTTAATATTTGAGCACTCGGGAGAAAATTGGCTAAAATCTAAATATTCAATAATATGAGAAAAAAAAGAGCAGCAATCTCCAATTGTATGAGAGAAAAGGGACACCTCCCCATCCCACCTGGGGAATGACTCAAGGCAAACAGTTTTCCTCCAAATTAAAATCAGGGGAATTTGCTGCATTTCAAAAAGGGAAGACACCCTCCAAATCTGAGTGGGAGGGTTATAGCAAGATTTGAGAATTAGAGGAGAAATAGCAAAATTGGAGGGGATTTGACATTAATCTTCGTAATGAGAGAGGAAAAAAAGGTAAAACCTGGGGGATTTCATGTGATTTTTTTTTTTTTTTTTGGTAATCAGAGAAAGAAAAAGAGGAAAACTGAATCGCTTTTTTCTACCAATATCAACAATTATCTGGATAATGGCAAAATCTAAAGGCAATTTTATGTCAATATTTGATAATTAGAGATTAAAAAGAGCAAAATGAGGCGTGTTTGTGTCCATATTGAATAATTAAGAGAGGGCAAGAGGGAAATCTGTGGAGATTTCTCACCCATATTTGATAGTGAGAGAGATAGGGACAAAATCTGAGGGGATTTATATGAGTAGTCAGTAAGTAATTAGAAAATGCTGGTTCTCCTCCCCTCCTGCACCCTTCTGCTATTCACATGGACAGCCAGGAGTCCTGGATGATGGTGCTTTAACAGGAGAAGCAGGCGCAGAGGGTGGGAGAATGGACCTGGAAGGTCTCAGGCAATTGGGAGCGGGAAAGGAACCAGAAGGCGGCATTGCAGCAGGAGGGGGTAGTAGCGGGGTTGGGGTAGTTGGTGTGTTAATATTCAATAAGTCTGTGAAAATGGAGCAAAATCTGTAGAGGATTTTTATATCCATGCAGTAGAACTTAGATTCTATCAACCCTCTTCTTAAGAAAGTTCAGTTACATGAAATCATTTTTCCTGATAGAAAAAATAAATTATATAATGAAAGTGATATTAATGAAGAACACGTTGACATCTCTTCCCATTCTGATGCCTTGGAAATTGCTTTGCAATGGTTTGAAAGACATGAACAAAGCAATGTAATATTGAGACATTTGCTTCTATGAACTCCTCAATAAAAAATACTTCATGAAATCAGAGTTCTATTGGTTTAATAATTAGTTGGAAGTTGAATCCCAGTCACTCAGGGTCCAGCCAACTGCCCCGTAAGCAGCTGGGTGGTGCCACTCCCCTATGTTCTGTTCTATTCAGTTCTTACAGCGCTCTCATCCCCACAGGGTCCCAGCACTGTCTATCCGGGCCCCAGCCTCACAACTTGCATTTGTTAGGAGTGATTCTCTTTCTCCCCAATGAGAAGAGTGTGTGTGGGGGGGAGAGGAGGTTAAATTTAATGTTTTATTTATTTATTTGTGCCCGGATCCACCCAAGTCTCAATTTTAGGTACCACTGCAATCCACGAAACCTCCGCTCAGCTGCTGCCAAACCCTGTAGGTGCCTAAACTCACTCTCAACCTAAGATTTTGCAGTAAAAAGTCCCCTAGGCACCTATGTTTCTGCCTCTGAGCGTGCATACTGCTGCCTCATTCTAGGTTTCTAGACCCTTATCTCCCACCCTGAGTGATCCACTAACTGGGGAAAAAGAGACTTTTGGCGGCCTAAGTCATATGCAGGTCCTGATCCAGTAGGTGTATGCAGAGGTCGCCTATATGTACATGAAAGAGCTCAGTTGGGACAAGGGAGGACACCCTCACTTATAATATTTAGCCTGCTGGTGAGAGTGCTCATCTAAGATGTGGGAGACCAGGAGTTCAAGTCTCCTGTCTGCCTGATGAGAAGGGGGTTGAACAAGGGTCTTCTATGTCCCAGGAGGGTGTGCTATAGGCATCTGGCCTATAGAGTAAAAAGAAAAGGAGTACTTGTGGCACCTTAGAGACTAACCAATTTATTTGAGCATGAGCCTTCATGAGCTACAGCTCACATCAGCTCACATCAGGCTCATGCTCAAATAAATTGGTTAGTCTCTAAGGTGCCACAAGTACTCCTTTTCTTTTTGCGAATACAGACTAACACGGCTGTTCCTCTGAAACCGGCCTATAGAGTGTTTCTCACTCTTTCTCTGGGCCAATTAATATTAATTATTCAATTAAAGTGGAACAACTTCATTAGGAGAGATGGAAGGAGGGCCCACATCAGAATGTCCCCTAGCCCAGTGGTTACAGCACTCTCTGTAGGGGTAGCAGACTTGAACCTGGGACTCCCAAGTACCCTAACCAGTGGGCTAAAGATTGTAAGAGAGGCAATCCTCCTCTCCTGGCTGTTCTGGGTGGTGTTTGTTTGCCTCTGCGCACACTACCAGATCTGGTCTCTGCATTTGGAGAATCCCTGATTTTCCCCTAGTTTGTGGATCGCAAGCAGATTGGTGTCTCCATGCTCCTGGGACTTAGGTGCTGAACTCCAAGCGAGGTGTGGTGTTTAGGACACATCCCTCTCCTCAGCTTCTCCCACTGGCTAACTTGGGCGGCTCCAGTCTGGCTTTTGTGGAGCCCATTCTAAGCACCTCTCTCTCCCCATTGATTGGATACGGAGCCTAGGGGACTAACACAGGCTTTGGGGATCACAGCGTTGTTACCTAAGACCATTTGTGGATTCAGGCATCGGATGCCAGCTGCAGTTTGTGGGCTGGTTACTGAAAGCAGGTCTAAGAAGTCTACTGGCACTGGGAATGCAGATCGGGGATGTTTGTGCTAGTTTTGAGCTCCTGTGGGAGTTTGTCCCATGGCCCAAGAAAACTGTCTCATGCACAGAAGAGCTTTCCCTCTGCCACAGACAGCTCCTTTTGCTTGAGGAGCCGCGTTGTTGCCAATGGTCATTATCCCAGAGCTTCAGGCAATCTTTAGGAATCCTGGTTCTAGACTGAGTGCCTTGAAGATAAAGGGCAGACTATGAATAGGGGGAGGCTCCTGGCTTTTATGTTCATTAAATCTGGGAAAGACAGCAAATATGTCAATTTTAATGTACATAAATGGGAAAAGAGTTTCCTGCTGAAACAAGGGTAAGTGGCTACAGATAAAAAGGGTAGAACCTCCTCTCCCATCTGAGATTTTATATGGAGAATTGAGAATTATTAGTGAGAAAATAGAGCAAAATCTGAGAGGGATAATTGGCCAAGAAAAGCCAGGCCCACACTCAACATGATGGTATTTCTCTGTTTGGATGTAATAATAGCTTTTGAACACTGCGGCCGATCAATTCCAAAATGTCAGGAAATATTCTACACGTCGGTGGGTAGACTATGGATCTTGATGAAAATCAGAAAATAGGAAGGGGGAAAGAGGAGACACACAATTGGAGCCCATGGCATCTGGTTAGCACACACTTCACTTTAACGAGGACTGTAATTGTCTATAGATCTGGTTGATGACAGCCATTGATGCCTTCCACTAAAGCAGTGGTTCCCAAACTGGGGTTCGTGAACCCTTAGGGGTTCGCAAAACATTACAGGGGGTTCTCAGAAAAAAAACTCCCTAATGGTGGACAGAGCTGTCCCTAGGGACCCCGGGCAGCACGGGGCCAGCAGCCCGGAGCTCCTAGACTTCCAAGAGCTAAGCGGATCAAAGCAAGCATATCTATCACACTGAGATGATTTAAATTTCAAGACTCCTTATTAGAAATGGAAAGGGAGGTGGATATTTTCTGCTGTTTTTAAAATTAAATAGGCAGCTAGTATTGTTTTTAAAATTATTATGTAGAACAAGTTTAAGCTCTGTTATAATGTGAGTTGTTTGCCTGGACTGCTCCAGACCTGAATGCTTGTGTAGGAGGAACTCCTTGAGTTGGCTTCTCAAATCCCTTCCTGCTGCTTCACAGCTGATACTCCTTGATGAAACATAGGAGCCTTGTTTTATAATAGGCTTATCCAAACTGATACAAGCTATGAAAGTGAGATCTTGGCAGATAGTTGCCATTTTCATAATGTAATAAAAATACTGTAATGATAAATAATAATTAATAATAAACAGTGTGCAATAAGCATGTCACAAAAAAAAATTATATTTCCAAGATCACTGCTTTTATAATTTATGCTCAGGTAAAGGAGAAAATCCCTGGAAATATTCATTTTTAAGAGGGGGTTCACAAGACTTGACATTTTAGTGAAAGGGGTTCAAGGGTTGTTAAAGTTTGGGAACCACTGCACTAAAGCAATCGCCCCATCTCAGCTCTGCCCTTTGTCCAAATGGAGTTTAAAATGTTGCAGGGAGTCTGTGAAATAGAGGGGAACAGGGGAGGGGAATTGAGGTATGCAAGGAGCTCTAGATATATGCAATCAGTTCCTACTACAGAAGCAAGATAGCATGTGTCCCCTTTTTTAAATTTAATTAAATTTTTTTTAGCACCCATGATTGCAGTAACTTGGGGCTGTATTTTCAGAGGTGCTGCGCAGCACCCACCACTCAGCTGAAGTCAATGTGAGCTGTGGGGGCTCAGCACCTCTGAAAAATCAGGCCCCCCTGTGACTTGATTGACAAGGGGAGTGATTTTTTATTGGGACAGTTTGAACAGTTTTGCATTTGTTTATTTCTGTAATATTTAGCCCCAAAAGCTTTGAGGAAAAAATCTGTTTGTATAAGATTCAGCAACCCCTCCCCACTCCCAATCTTCAATGAGAAGCTGAGAAAGCTCCCACTACACTTGGGAATCATCCAAACAGCCCCCACCAACTACAGGGGAGACAAGACTTAACCGCCATTATATTATTATTGTTTTCATTTTTAAATAAAGACCCCCTCCTCACCTGCAACTGACTATTTATCTAACAGAGGGTCACACACTTTGGGGCTTCTTTAGACCAAGTTCATTGCACACCAACATCTCCTTGCTCTTATCCATTCTTCCCCACAAGTGCCCTGTGTTCTACACTCCCATCCCCTTCTATTTCAAAGACTCCCTAGAACCCCAATGCCAGGGGTTCTGTGTGTCCCAGAGAGGAGAATGGGGACATGCCAAGGACTCCTTGTATCCCCAGTTTCACTCTTTTGGTTGTCCAGATTTCACTCAAATCAATAGGGTTCTGTCCTTTGAGTCCTAGAACGTTCCCTAAAATCCTGGAATCAATCAGATGCAGCATTCAAAAGTTAACGTGTTACAGACAGACTGGAAAACAATATCGAGTTGAATTCAGGCCCTCACGCTCACCCAAAAATCCTGGGAAAGAATCAGGGGTAATTTGCCACATTCTTGAATGTTAGAAACTTACTAATGCTCCAATGCTCCATAGAGTCTTTTAGGCTTAAGACTCTTTTGTAATACTAAAAAAAAAGACGAAAATCCCTTCCAGGTCTTTTTTAATGTACACAAGGAAGCACAAAATCAACAGAAAACCAATTTTTTTCATTTTGTTTTATAAAGTCATTCTTAAAAACCCTGGGTGCATCCTCTCACCAGCTCATCTAAGTTGCAGTTGAGCAGCTATAAGGATTAGGCTGAAGGCAGCAGGATCTGGCCAAAGGTCTCTTTCCCACAAAGTTCTACTTGTACCTGCTGATGGGAACATAACCTGCTAACACTGGGGACTGAAAAGTAACTCTTTGAGAATGAAATTTGGCAGCCCTTTTCTCCCTGGCAAAGCATCCTTATTTGTAGAGCTGTGGTGAAGTCCTAGGAGTGTCAAACAGAGATTTATTATTGGAAATTACAGGCTTTTTTTGAAACACAATATATTCCCTGAAGAGTTGGCTATTCAGAATCCCCTCACTCTGCGTTTGGCCGTCGGACAGGAATAGCTAGTTTCCTCTGATTAGCAAAACCATTAAGGGCCTGATCCTGCCAAGAAAACCATATGCATCATTTTAGGGGTGTCACATGATTTGCAGGAAGGAGTCCAAGCCAGGTTACACATGATGTGTCAGATGGAGCAAACATATACCGGTCAGCACTTTAACACTGGGGAGGTTTACTGGGTTCTGTGGAATCGGAATTAATCCCATGGTTATTTCTCAGGGGCTTGATAATGTGGAGAGATTTTTAAAACTACAAATAATCCCTCTCCTCTATTCTCTGTGCCCCCCACTCTCCTCTGCCGGTTACTTCCCTAAATGTGCAGAGATGGTTAAAACTGGACACATTTCTTGTTGTCCCCCCATTCCCTCCCTCCCTCCCTTTTTCTATCCATCCTTGACTGATTTTTCACCCCTTTCCTTCCTGACATTCCTGCCTGCCCCACAGAGACACAAAAGAGAACCCTGCAGGGAAGCCCATTCATGACCCCACTGCAGCTCCTCTGAACCACTGTGCTCCCCTCCCCTGGTTTTTGCTCCTGGAGCAGACCCCAGGCAGAGGAGGGCAGTGACTTCATTGTTAAGGCCAGTGAGATCCCACCCCCAGCTGCATTAACAAACAGGGCTCAGGCATGGGTGCTGGAACTAAGGGTGTGGCCACACCCCCGCTCTTGAAGTGGTGTCCATCCCTTACAGGATTCACAGTTTGGTTCAATAGTTCTCAGCACCCCCACTGCACAAATTGTCCCAGCATCCCTGGCAGGGTTGCTTTGAGCAGCGAGTCCTTTTCCTGCCCAGTTCCCACCACTTCCCCCAGTTCTGTCCCAGTCACCTGGCGTCTCCCCTGCAGGGGCTGGTGTCGGCAGGCGCAGCAAGAGCAGCAGAAACATCTTGCCACAAGCTGCAGGGCCTTTGATTGCTGCTGCTCTGTCGTCTTCCTGTGCCCGTAGATACCAACCCGGGCTGCAGCACGTCCCAGGCAGGGACTGGAGTTTTCTTTTCCAGAGCTGGGAAGAACCCGGGCATGCTGACCTCCCCCCACCCCCGCCACACACACAGCCCTCCCCTCCTTCTTCCGCCACTCCCCAGCCCTACTCTCCTTCCACAGTGAGTCTGCCCTCCCCCTGTCTGGGATCCGGGGCTCTTGTCTGGGGAGGGTTTTCCTAACCAGAGCTAAATTCACCGCGTGTCACAAACACCCTATGAGCGGCCCCACGGCTCTCGCTGGTTTATTCTCCCCTCTTCGCCCCCCCCACGCCGATGGATCTGGCCAAGTGCTTTCCTTTGTGTTTGCAGAGGAGCCATGCCCCAGCCTGGAGCCTGCAGGATGCGCTCAGCTGTCCTGGGGGGCCCTCAGCCCGCTTCCCCGGACCGCTGGGATGAGTGCCTTTGCTGCCCCAACATAGTGTCAGAAACGGCTTCCTCGGCACACTTTGCTAGCTCGCAAAAACGGACACGGAAGATGCCTTTTTCCTGCAACTCCTGTTAAAGTAGCAAACTCTGCCAGAAGAGGAAAGTCTCCCTTTCAGAATTTGCTTCCTCTCACCTTTCCCTGCACGGTTCTGACCTCCCGCCCTGTTCTGAGAACTTCGGGCCTCCCCTTTCCCCTAGAAGTAGCAGCAGGGGGGCAGGGGGAGCCTGCAGAACCTTCCCCACTTCTGCAAGCAACATGATTTAACCCAGTGTGGTTCTCAACCTATTTTCCACTATGGGCCAGACACACAGCTCTCTGGGTACTTGTGGCACCTTAGAGACTAACCAATTTATTTGAGCATAAGCTTTCGTGAGCTACAGCTCACTTCATCAGATGTTTACCGTGGAAACTGCAGCAGACTTTGGATTTGTGCTGGAAATGGCCCACCTGTTGATCACTTTAGATAAGCTATTACCAGCAGGACAGTGGGGTGGGAGGAGGTATTGTTTCATATTCTCTGTGTGTATATAAAGTCTGCTGCAGTTTCCACGGTAAACATCTGATGAAGTGAGCTGTAGCTCAGGAAAGCTTATGCTCAAATAAATTGGTTAGTCTCTAAGGTGCCACAAGTCCTCCTTTTCTTTTTGCGAATACAGACTAACACGGCTGTTCCTCTGAAAGCTCTCTGGGTGTTATGTGGGCTGCAGCCCTGCAATATATATGCTACCTCTATGGCCCTGAGGATGTCACCTGGGCTGGAGCAGTGTGCTGATTGGGCCACAAGTGGCGGACCTACTGATTTAACCCCGTGATGTAAGCCCGTTATTGACATCCAGTCTTTGATATTTAAATGGTCAAACACATAGGAAATAGTAAAGATTTTGATCTGTAAGGCTATGCAGTTTTGGTTAAGGGTGGATAAGTTGCTATAATTTTAAATCATTGCTTGAAAACTCATTCATCATAAAATATCAATGACTCAACTTCATTTTTCCACACTGTCCACTTTGCTGTGGTGTGACTATGTTCATGCAGCTCCAGTAAATTATTTATCTTGTCTACTCATCAGCATAAACTAGTCAGTAGGCCTGCGGCTCTGGACATATGTTTGGTATACCAGTGGAAAGCCACAAGAAATGTAATTCTTGGATTCCTCTAGTTCAGCCTGTCTGTTGATAGAGGTCACGATGACTATCAATAAGGCAGCACAAAGATACTGAAAGTTTGCAGTGGCGCTGTGACAGGTGTGTACACATTTATACAGGGGAAAAAGTGGGACTAAACCTAAGAGAATGTGATAGGCTTGGATGGATTCGATTTTTATAGACAAATGTTGGTAAATATTTTCACTGCACACACACAAACAAATTCAAATATTTCTATCATTAACTATTGAAATTTACAGGTAGCAAAGTAAGAAAATGCTTCTTGATAACTTATTGGAGTGTGATTTAAGGATATTTACTTTGTATATTTCGACATGTGATGTGTTTTCATGGTTAATAAAGCTTTAACTTTGTAATCACAATATCTGCTGTCATTCAATAATTATTGTCTGAACTGTGAAAATTTAAATCTATAAAAATCTAAAAGCATGTTTAAAAAAATCTATATTATCAGTTGAAATAAAAAAAAATCTAATTCTGCCAAGCCTATATATAACTTAAATACTAAGTGTAAAATTCTAAAAAGCTCATAAGTGACTTAGTAGCCAAAGTCAATAATACATGCTCCAACACCATTTAGGCATTTGTGGAAATTTCATAAAAGTATATGCAAAACAAGTCCACTGGTAATAAAGCTTAATGCTCTTTTGTTGCTGTCAGGTTTGTTTTCTGTTTTTTTTTTTTTTTTTCATTTGTTACTCATTTAAATGTGAGTGCCACACACACAGGGAATTTCATTATCACCAACTATTCTGCCCATGGTCCAGGGTTAGGTTGCTAACCTGGGATGCAGGAGACCTTGGGTTACCTTCCTTGCTGTGCCAGACTGTTTGACTGTGGACTATTGACTTAGGCCCAGAGGTACAAAGTGAGTTAGGCACTGACACCCCAGATTTAGAAGCCTAAATCCCAGTGTTAGACGGCATTGCATCCCACAAATCCCCTGCTCAGCTGCTGCCGAACCCAGTAGGTACCTAAACTCACTCAGCACCTACGTTTTTGCAGTAAAAGTTCCCTTGGCACTTAAGTCACTGCCTCTGAGCGTGCATGCCCCTGCCTCACTCCAGAGCCTGGTCTACGCTACAAAGTCAGGTTGACATATGCATAGGCGCCAACTTCTCCTGCCGCTGGTGGGTGCTCGACCTCCCCACCCCTGCCCCTGCCCCCACCCCTTCCCCACCCCCATTCCAACCCCTTCCCCAAAGTCCCCGCTCCAACTCCGCCCCCTCCCTGCCCCATTGGACTCCTTCCCCAAATCCCCGCCTGGGCTCCGCCTCTTCCCCGCCTCCTCCCCTGAGCATGCCGCATTCCCATTCTTCCCCGCTCCCTCCCACAGCTTGTTACACCGCAAAAGAGTTGTTTTGCGGCAGCAAGCACTGGGAGGTGAAGCCGGGACACAGCACGCTCAGAGGCGGAGGTGATGTGAGCTGGGGCAGGGGACGGGGGAGCTTGGCTGCTGGTGGGTGCAGAGCACCCACCAATTTTTCCCTGTGGATGCTCCAGCCCCGGAGCACCCACAGAGTCAACACCTATGGACATACGCCACCTTGCGTTGACCTGATTGTGCAGGTATCTATACTTGGTCTTCCAATGTAAGTTGAGCTCTCCTTTACACTGACATAGTAACACCACCTCCCTGAGTGGCGTTGAGCCATGGTCGATGTCCAGAGGTCAACGCAACGGGAATGTAGACACTGTGTTACCTATGTCACCCCAAATGTTCCTCCAGCAGCTGTCCCACAAGGCGCAGAGCTGACCTCTCTGGTCACAATTGTGAACTCCACTGCCTAGAGGTCACAGAGACGGGAAGCCACCCGCCCCTTTAAAGCCCAGCAAATTTTTGAAATGCCTTTTCCTTATTGTCCATCTTGATGAGCACACCTAGGAGCTCTCCCTTGTTGTGTGCAACTGCCCAGCTGACCATGCCGGCTACATTATCCAGGCTCACTCCAGCCTGGAGTAGACAGGAGAGATTGGATCTCGTGGACCTACAGGGAGAAGAGGCTGTGCTCACACAGCTATGGACCAGCCAGAGAAACATGGACATCTCTGAGAAGATTGCATGGGGCGTACAGGAAAATGGGCATGACAGGAATCGGCAGCAGTGCCACGTGAAAGCAAAGGAGCTGTTGCAGGCATATCAGAAAGCCAGAGAGGCCAATAATTGATCCAGTGCCAAGCCACAGACCTTCTCCTTTTACAATGAGCTGCATGCCATACTTGGCAGAAACCCCACCACTACCTCACACACCACTGTGGATACCTCCGAGCATCCTGAGACCCAGGTCCCAGGTGTGAACAGCAAGGAAGAGGAAGAGGAGGAGGGTAGGGGACATGCTACAGGGAGGTCCAGCTATGCCACAAGCCAGGATCTCTTTGAGACTCCAGTGAGTCCCAACAGTCAAGCATAGTCGAGCCTGATGCAGGGGAAGGAACATCAGGTAAGTGTGTAAATTTATTTCCCAATACAGTGATAGCACCCCCAATTTAGCAGGATACAGCTATTGACTTTTCATTAATTTACTACTGCTAGAAGAGGTAGCTGGGTACAGGAGTGGCAGAAGCGCCTAAAAGTGTGTGTGTGTGTGTGTGGGGGGGCCGACAAGCACCCAAACTGAGCCCCCATCCTCTGCGCCATGCTGTCCCTGAGGCTCCACCCTCGCGCCACCCATTCCCCCTAAACCCCCGCCCTCACATTTCCCCTCTCCCAAGATCCCACCCCCACACCATCTCTTCCCCTGAAGCTCCGCCCCGCTCTGCCTTTTCCCCCAGGGCCCCACTCCTGCATCGCCTCTTCCCCTCAAGACCCCACCTCCCACTCGCTCCTCTCTCTGCCCCCTGCCCCCATCACTCGCCCTTACCACTGGTAAAAAGTGGGAGGGTCATGCCCCCCTGGTCCCCCCCATTTCCAGTGCCCCTGGGTGGGTAAGCGGAGCCGTTTGTTTATGTACATGGAGATATCCCTTGAATCCTCCTGAGAGATCTCGAATAAACTTTCATGGAGGTGCTCTGCAGTCCTCTCCCCAAGGTTTCTAGGGATGTCAATCTTATCTCTTCCTCCACAGTAGGACACTTTCATCCTACTACGTTAAACTGGCTAGTGGCCTACGGGCCTGGATGGTTTTGTTACCCTCAGGAGTGAGATACCAGCTAAAATCACACCCGTCTGTGGAAAACGGTGCCAGTATTCAGTGCTAGTGCCCTATACTCATAGTTTTATGCAACCAAGCAATTCCCTCCTCATTTCCCTCTCCCGAGGTGGGCCATATGCACCATGGCCGGTGCTGTGAGTAGCACTGTGCACAAGCCCTCCCAAGCAGAAGTGTCAATAAGCAGGTCTTGTTTAAAACGTCAGGGGAGCGAGGGAAGGGAGTTCTGAATCTCAACTTCCACTTTCCATTGTGACAATCATGCCTGTGTGTTTTATCCAGACCTACTGCCCCTCTTGAG